TCTAGTCAACATCAGTATAAATGCAGGATTCCTGAAATGAAGCCATTGACTAATCCTGACTATGATTTGCCAGCAAACCTGGCGACAATTCAGCCCTTTGGTTTTATAGGTTGCTATTTTCATGTACTATGGAGAGATGCTTGTCATGTTTATTTACACAGCACCACAGATCTGCTGATGGGAAGAGCCCTGCTGTCCAAGGCACTGACCGTGTGCCATAGCAGCAGAAAGCTCATCACACCACCCTTCCGAGGCACTCCTCACTGGAAGAAAGCGTAAAGGAGTGTTTGCAATATTGTGCATGGAATTAATAACTTACTGGGTCTCTCAGAGAAATGGGAATTGGACAGATGTCCTTGGAAGAGTGCATAGAGTGTCAGTGAAACATTGGGGCCAGGCAGCAGGAGATCTTGCTAACAGAAAGGGGCACTCTACGTGACCAGGACATGGGCCACAAGGTGGTAACGGATGTCAAGAAGCCAGGCTGCACCTTGCATCTCCCAGCTCCAATCCCTGGTCCTTCATTCCCATCCCCTTCAGACCCGAGGCTCTTTGGCACATTCCTTCAAAGGCAACACAAGAAGAAACGTAAGGTGAAATAAAGCAGAGGACCTCCACGGGCAAGTGGTTGATTTGTGGGCAGTTATTTACTCTACAAATCATTTGAACTACAAGCAGACTTCATACAACATAATAAATAAGGAATCTGGAGGGATAGGTGAGCTGCAGCCATGCAGGGGTGGGCGGATGCAGAGCAGAACCGCAGCGAAACAGCTGTCCACCCAGACCCGTGAGGAGGTCCAGAGAAGTTCCCAGTGCGCTTCCCGAGAAGTTGCCCTATCAAATGAGCAACTTCGAGCTGATGGAGCTGTGACAGTTTACGGAGGCTCAGGGCCCGCTGCCATGTGTTTTAATAAATGGGTTCACACCAGCTGTCCATGTAAACAAAACATTAGCATGTGTCAGACACTATCTACCCAGGCACTTGCCATAACTTAGGGGACATTTTGCAGCAGAGCCATCCCAGCACAAGTCTGTGCCATGCCAATGGGACAACACGATGCTCTCTCTCCCATGACTTATGGGGTGGCAGAGAGCTGCCCACAGCCAGGCTCCCCTCGCTGCCCAATCCAGGCTTAATCCATATTCTGGCATTTTAGGTTAAGGAGTTGCCTGGCTCTGTGCTGGGACTGATGGTGCACCAGGATTGTAGGTATTTCTTTCAACTTCCCCTCTTTCCCCAGATCCACTCAGGATCTCTCCAGAAAAGAGGTGCGAAGGTAAGAAAGTAAGAAGCAATAAAGGAAAATCTATTTGCACAGTCATCTGGCTATTACAATTCTGAATTTTTTGAAAGAACAGACTGAGAGTTTACGGTGCTAAGGGCACTCAGGACTGGACGTGGTGGGACGGGATACTCAGCGGTCTCCTCTTACGGGGGAGATAGCCCCAGAGCCAGCAGCGAGATTGTGAAGAAGCCAAATCCACTGACCCGCCAGCAAACAGGGGAAGCATCTCATTCTGCCTTGG